ACTACTGGCTATCACTATTAGGGATGGTAATTTATCTGTTAGTAACATAGACTATATTTTTTTAGCTAGTTATCAATTATTTATATGCGCCTCCTCCTCCGCTGATTAAGGGTAGGTAATGTCTGGGCATCGGTCGCTTTGCAATTTCGACGGCTTCAGGTGACCGCAATCGTTTGCCACCTTATAATATAAAAAATTACATCTCTGTCTCTCTCTCTCTCTCTCTCTTACACCCGCTAAGTATATTAATGAAACCGCACCCGATGTGATACAGTCCAAGCAGGATACGAATGTGCATTAACCCGAATTGCCCGCAATGTGACTAAACTAACGCCATGATTCCTGGATGTGTCACACATATTAAATGCCAGCACAAGCGAGACGATTCAATTAAATCGGAATGTGTTTCCTTTCGGATTCTTGGACAATTTATTCCGCCATTAACTGTCACTTTTTAGATCACACGTTTCATGTTTAGAACACGTATACCTTTATGTTATTTTTATAATTTCACCTTTAATTTCCAGTTTATTATATATCCTATGTTACTTAATAAAAATGTTGCTTTTTAATGCCGAAATCGTTCAAATACTCGGCGGTATTTCCAAATCAATACGACTAGGTTCCTTCAAGAAGCGAGCCTACAATTTCCTCCGGCAACGCTGTAGTTTCTCTGGTGTTGCGGATGTCCATGGGCGTCGTTGATCACCTCGGTGTTCCCGCCGCTCGTTTGCCCCCTTCTCTTATAAAAAAAAGTTTTGGATAACACTCAATGCAAACAACCAATTCCTCTTTATAATATTAGTAAAGAAACAGTAGTCTTTGACGACTAATCGAGTCTATTTTTTTTAATATAATTTTGCATTGTAGATGACAACACTGAGGGAAATTACCCTACAAAAGAACTTCCGATGCCTTTTTTCACTTCACTATTGCTCCGGATTATTTGTCTATAGGTTATCTGTGGATAAGAAATTAAAGCATAAAAATTTGTTAAAGCATAAAAATAATAACAATAATGTTTACCGTTATACAGAAAAGTTACTCTTGCAAAGTTAACTCACAAGCATTGTTCACTTACAGAATAGTTGTACCGCAAATTCCGTTTGTCATAAAAGCCGTGTCTGGTTATGCCTGGTGTACATACATTATACCAGTGCACGCTCAATAGGGAATGATTTTGACTCAGTGTCGCCAGTTTGCATCATTGCCAATACGCCGGCGTTTTTGAGCAACACTATCCTACTGTTCTGGTAAAATGTGAACCAGGCATTACTTTTACATTCATAATCATAACTACGGTAAAACTATTTGTATTTGGCGCCATTTTTAAGTTTGCCAAATGAATTTCGCTATTGTTACTTAAACTTATTCTAAAATAAAATTCCTCTCCTCTAACCTAGTTAAATTACTTCGATAATTAAAGTAGATTAAATATTTTCTTATAAATAAATTCAAATGAAACCATCCACATCGAAACAAACAATATAATAACACAATCAAACTATTATAATAAGGCCCATCTTAATTTTCCTATTGTTCTCAATTACCAATAAGGAAACACTCAATTAGTAGCTAAATTAAGAGGACGAATTCGCTAAATTTAATTAGACTACCCAAAATCAAGGACCGCAAATTAGCTAATAGGCAAGCTGAAATAAAACGATTTTGTTGAACGCAAACGCAAACGAAAATTACATTACAATTATCTTAACAAAATGCGGGGAATTTCAAAAAAATAACTAATTCTACTGGCATTTTAAAAACTTAAATAATGATTTTCTTAAATAGCGCCATCTATCCGAAGAAAATTTTCAGAATGGCTTTAAACTTTATTTTCCACATGTACTAAAAGATGTCGCTACTTAGAAGAGAATTTTAAATCCAATAGTAAATTAAATCGTACTGACTAATAATTATGTTTATCATCCGTAATAAACAAACGTACGTAAAAGTACTGTCATTAATTATGAATTTTTGTTGCCACGGTTTAGTTTATAACAATAGCATATTAATTTGTTTTCACTGAAAAGAAAGTGATGCAAGAAAGAGAATTCAGTGTCGTTCACGGTTCTCGGGCACAGGCGGATTGTGATTGTTTTTGTAATCTGCGATTTCTTGACAGATTTTTCACTCAATTACGATGCGATGTCTCTGAAACTAACTTCACAAGAAATATTTGTATTATTGAGACATAACAAAAAGACCTAGAATAATGAGCTATTTATTCCTTTTTGTGAGAGGCATCTTATTGAACAATATAACTAACGTTAGCGGCATCTAGTACCTAAACCAAGACGTATACTATTCTTTTAACGAATTTTGAAACAACGCCATCTGTTAACGATTTTATGTACTACGTGAACATATCAGTTTCTTTTTTCCTATTCATCAAATGACAAAAATTCTCATTTTGATAATAAAAAAAAAGTAAAAGTAGAACATTGTACGGTATAAATAATTGACCTACATTGCCATGTTTTACCGATAACCTTATGCTTTGTTTACAATTTAGATCCATGTAATAACAACATTTACTTCTCAGTCACGTTTTAATAAATTGAAACGGAGTCATGATTAAAAATGTAACACGGTTTAAATGGAGATAATATTTTTATCCTTACTTAAGCTATTTAGCTAATCTTTCTTTTTGAAAGAAGTAGCTAGATTAAGTTCGCCAATTATATTTATAATTATTGTCTAACCGAGAATACAAAAATCCTGGATGCGTTTAAATCAGTTTATTACATTCATTTTTTATGCAGAAATTAGTTCCATACTTTTCCGCAATATGACGAGGGTTCTTATTGATCATTGTAACGCTGTTAGAATGGGTCGTAATAAAAAAACTATTTTTAGTCTGATCTACGCATGTTGAATTCAAGGAAGAGTTTACGAGGCCAGTGGTTTTATACATCTATCTAGATCATATAATCTTGGAACTAAAAGGAAATAGCAAAATATCCACATTATTTCTCTTTCATATATTTATGTTCATAATTAATTATCGTTGTTTAGTATTTGACAAGAAACATGATTTTTTAATTATTTTCTGCAATTCACTCATATATTGGTAAAACCCACCTAAAAAAGTTTGATAAATAACCCCACCGAGGCAATAAATCGGTCCCCGTATTTAATATTTTTAGTAGAAAGAAATGATATGAAATTAATGTACCAAGAGAATTACAATGCACAAAACAAACAAGATAACAAATGTCCTTAGTCATCATTATAAAAACATTCTATGAAACGGAACAAAAAAAAGTTGTTTTTCCAACTATAAACAATATTTTTCTCTCTCTGAGAATTGTTATTGCGCATACAGAAATGGCGCATTATCTACGCATTTACGATCTAATGTGATTTAGTATAAATAACTTGCTATGTTGAAACGGTAAATAAACTTTCGTATGTTTGAGCTATGATTTATTTTTCTCCCTCAATCAAAAAGTAAGTAGCCTATGTGTGACTATACTCTACATTTATGCCAAATTTCGTTAAGACCCGTTTAGCAGTTTAGGCTACAAGCTCTAAAAAACATTCATCCATCCAAACTTTCGTATTTATGTTAGTAAGATTTATTTTATGATATCATTTATTTATGTACAAGCTGTAGGAATCGGGTGCTATGTTATTGTAAACATGTACGTTTTATCGGTTTTCTAAACTTTCTAGATACATATATCTTATCTGTATTTCATGTCTCGCTAAATGATCCCTAGTCGTTTTGTTTCTCAATTTATATAAATGACTAACAAATACCGTGGACCATGAAATATAATTTACATAATATGAATAATATTAAAATTATATATTAATTGTTTTAAGTTAAATAACGTTTTATTCATTTTTTAAATTGTATACTATAGCAAGAATACAGGCCATAAAGACTTAAAAAAAACAAATCCTTTGTCTCCGAATGAACCCGTTTCGAACAGAATACATTTTTAGCAACAAAGTCTATGACCTCCATAAATCCGGGAAGGTGAACGTTCCGTGTTTGCAAATACAAAAACAATTCACGTGTATTTATCTGTTATTGTACTGATACAAAGAAAAACAATTTCCTCGCAGATTCTAGAAAACCGTTCAAACTCTAAATATAACTTTAGTTTATAATTTACATATCTATACGTCTATTACACTAGGTTAAAAAGTCGAATTAAAAAAAAAAGAAAATAATGAATCATAGGCATAGGTCGATATCCTATAAATATGACGCAATTTTATAATGAAATTAGTAATAAATGGAACCACCTAAAATTTTCCTGAAGTGAAAAAGCTTATTTTATTTAATTAGATTAGGTTTGACTTAAACGAATTGAGTAAAAATAAACTGACCTACATAGTTTTTGTAATAAGTAGTTCACAAAATTAAATCCATCACCCTAGGTTTTGTTTAACCAGGTTACGTGGTAACTGTTATTACACGAGCATACAGCAGAAAAGTCCTATTTTTTGATAATTTAAATTACTGTTGGCTTACGTAAAGTTAGAATCTCAGTTTTTTCTTTTATGTAAAGACTAATCTTCTTTAAAAATAAACTGAAAACGTATGTTACATGTAATAATTGTATCAACTAATTAGATTATAACTTAAGTAATATAATAGCTTGGAAGTCTTTTACATATGCTAATATAATTAAATAAAAATAAAATTGCAAGGAGTAATTAGGTCATTATCATTCTTAATCAATGACTTTTCAGATATAAGGATAATCTATAAAGAATATTTGAAAAAAAAGTGTTATTTTCGTCCTAATAAAAATATTTTGATTTGGTTTCATGAACACTGTGCATTAACACTTCCACAGTGCGTCACAAAGGAGAACTTCGTGTCGATTCTAGAACATTCCGATATAGCTGTCTCGCTCCTTTTCCTAGTGATCGAGCGAGATAGGATTGAGTTCATCGGCTTCGGTCGGGGTTCGTCGTGTCGGACGACGTATTGATCGACGCATTTTTGTGCTGTATAAAATCGTCCGCCCTCCTCCCGCTCTTGCATTTACGAGAGAATTGAAAAAGGAACAAGACGTGTGACAGACATCGTGTGTGATCATTGTATAATTTTTAAAAGTTGCTGATTATTATTTAGAAATTTTAGTTATTGGATAAATTCTAGTGAAAAGGTAAGTCTTGTTGTATTTTACTGGTATTGTAAAGTAATTTGGGTTACATTGTGATACTGCGCAGTTTGATTTCATCATACGCCATCTTGTCTGACGTGTTCAAGGTATTGATCGCCTTTTCTGATGAAATCTTCTTTGTTTCCGACTTAATTTCGAAATCTAAACTCAAATATCAATCATGTAAATTCCAATTGTGAACACTTACTATTTTTTGAATATATTCATTCTTTGTTTCGAATCTTCTGAAAAAAATTCAAGTTGAGAAAAAGACATCAATTCAAAACTAAATTTTCTTTTCAAAAAGGTATGTAATTGAAGAAATTATACCTATAAGGAATTTGCAAATTTCTAAGAGTTACAAAACCGATTTTACATCGAATGAAACCTTGCCTTGTCCGCCATCTTTCTTTTGTTCATTCTTTGTTATCGAACGTATCTAGTTTTTCGCAACTGCAATTCCAGTACTATTCTTATTTAAACATTTAATATAATCGATCTGGTAAAGTATAACTTTCAACCGTTTAACAAAGGTTTTCAATATCATTGTAACCCAAGTTACTTTTTTAAATTACAACAAAACTAGTTTCAATTAAAAGCATAATTTAATTTAGATTGCTCAATATTTCATATTTACTTGTACAATAATAGCTTTACAGCTTTTCTTATGTTTTAATAGAACATTACAAAGTAATAATTGATTTCTAAACCTTACTTTCTTTGGACTTTCTGAGTAATTTCAATAGTTATAGTACTATTGTTTCTTCCACTAATGTAAACAATCTTTCATAAAAATAATGTAACATTTAATTGTTTACAGATTACATTAACAAGATGCAGATTTTTGTGAAGACATTGACAGGCAAGACCATCACCTTGGAGGTGGAGCCTTCAGACACAATTGAGAATGTTAAGGCAAAGATCCAAGACAAGGAGGGCATTCCCCCAGACCAGCAGCGTCTCATCTTCGCCGGTAAACAGTTGGAAGATGGACGCACATTGTCCGACTATAACATCCAAAAGGAATCCACCCTGCATTTAGTACTCCGTCTCCGTGGTGGTATGCAGATCTTCGTTAAGACCTTGACAGGCAAGACTATCACATTAGAGGTTGAGCCATCTGACACAATTGAAAATGTTAAGGCTAAAATCCAAGACAAAGAAGGCATTCCCCCAGACCAGCAGAGATTGATCTTTGCTGGCAAACAGCTTGAAGATGGACGCACATTGTCAGATTACAACATCCAGAAAGAATCTACTCTTCACTTAGTGCTCCGTCTTAGAGGAGGAATGCAGATTTTTGTTAAAACGCTAACAGGAAAGACTATCACACTGGAGGTGGAGCCATCAGACACAATTGAGAATGTAAAAGCGAAAATTCAAGACAAGGAGGGCATTCCCCCAGATCAGCAACGTCTTATCTTTGCGGGTAAGCAGCTCGAAGATGGTCGCACACTTTCAGACTACAATATTCAAAAGGAATCGACGCTTCACTTGGTTCTTCGTTTAAGAGGAGGCATGCAAATTTTCGTGAAGACTTTGACAGGCAAGACCATCACCTTGGAGGTTGAACCTTCTGATACCATTGAGAATGTCAAAGCCAAGATCCAGGATAAAGAAGGTATCCCCCCAGACCAGCAGAGATTGATCTTTGCTGGCAAACAGCTAGAGGATGGCCGTACCCTTTCTGACTACAACATCCAAAAGGAATCAACACTTCACTTGGTACTCCGTCTGCGAGGTGGTATGCAGATCTTTGTTAAAACCCTGACAGGCAAGACTATCACATTAGAAGTAGAACCCTCGGACACCATCGAGAATGTTAAGGCCAAGATCCAAGACAAGGAAGGTATCCCCCCAGACCAGCAGAGATTGATCTTTGCTGGCAAACAGCTAGAGGATGGCCGTACCCTTTCTGACTACAACATCCAAAAGG